TGAGTCGGGGGAGAGTGGACTACATATGTAACAAGCTGGGATTATATGATATATACTCACCAGCTTGAGGGGGAGTGTTAGTGGTGTTAGTGAAGGGGTAWTTYRRTCTTTGYACTTGTTGAGAATGTTGATGTGTACTGTTATGTTAGTTCGCGTGTCTCTTACTTAAAGAAGGGCACTTAAGTCTTTTCCAATGAGTTAATAATATAATAACAGGTCTAGCCGAATCTAGGGATAACTTTTTCTCTAATTCGAACCAGCCTTTCTCTCTTTCCTCTCTTTTCTCTCTTTTTCTTTCCTCTCCTACTTCTTGCTGTTTACTTTACAGTCAACGAACAAGACAGAATTGTAGGGCAGGTCAAACTTCAATAGATATGAATCTCTTGACCGAATCTTATACAACACTTGTGAAATTCTATTACTAGTGGAGAGAAATTACCATCTGAAAATTCGTAATAAATGTACCAGAATGTTGCCAATGCAAAATGTGCCTCTATTGTATTTGCAAAATAACTATGCTTTCTAAAAGTAAATTAGGCTGAAAAATAAATGATGCTATCCATGCTGAAGATACTATATGATGTTTATGTTTCATGTGTGACATATCTCTTTCCAAAACTATTTCCGTTTACTTGTTTTGAAAAGGTAAAATAATAATTTCTATTACTATTAAGTAAGACGCGGAATATTTAAAACTTGCCCTGTGTACAAAGAGTTTCTTTACAAAACATAAGCAAGTGGTTTCTGGGTTAACAGTTTTATGTACTCATAAGGTAATCAAAGCTAAAAACTTTTTTTTTCTTTTTTTACTTTGTTTCATGCTTTTTCTCAATTTAGTTAATCCAATTTAATAATTTGTTTTTTATTGTTAAATATTTTTCATGTCTGCAATCTCAACAGATAGGTAGCAGGATAACAAGCAAACGCATTGCTCAAATGCTGGAGATCTGCTCTTCATGTTCATATATTATGGTTGATAAGCATCCTTATCGTCACGATCCTTCTCATATTGTTACTCATCGAATTCAAAGTACCATAACTGAATTTGCAGATTCTTTAATTGGAGTTCATTTGCCTAGAAAGACTAGCAAATGGAGCATGTTCTTGCAAGCATTAAATAAGATGGTATAATTTATTCTATGGCAGATAGTAATGGTTGTTTTCTTTATAAGTTGTATTTGAAATCTTTTTTGCTTTCTGTTTTCCCTGTCATGATTCTCTCTAGGTTCTATGGGTTTTGAATATTCCCTTCTTGATAAAATGTTGTATTACATTCCTTTATGGTGTAGAGATATAGCAAATGAGAAGTTTAACTACTTATTTTTATCTCTGTATACTTGGGGAGTACAGTTGTACAACAGGGAGATAAGAGTGTGGAAGAATACTATGCTGCCTTGGAAGAGCCTACCAAATGAACTAAATGTTTATTATCCCCTTTCTACAGATCTAAAGGTTCAACAAGAACAAAGGGAAGGATTGGTTATTGCTAGATTTCTATCAGGGCTGAACTTGAGCTTTGAATTTGAGCTAGTAAGAGCTCAAATTTTGTGGAGTAGTGACCTTCCTTCACTTTCTGAGGTATTCTCTCGCATCAAGAGAGTATCCACCACACATAGTGAGCATACTACCATTCTAGAGAGCACAGCACTGGCTGTTACCAGAGGTGGTGCTGGTGGTTGAGGTGTTCGTGGAAAAGGTGTGACTAGAGAAACTGGTCATGGTTTGGGCAGAGAAGGAAGAGGTGGTGGCAAACACAGTAGTGGGCGTGGTCAAGTTCGAGAGTGTTCTCATTGTGGTTGTGAAGGCCATATTGTTAACTTTGTTATGGCTTGCATGTCCCTCCCTCCTCTTGGGTCAATCATGCCTTGGTAGGAGATGACACTTGCAACAATGTTCCCACTGATGAATCACCTACTACAGTTGTTAGTAAGGATAACAAGTTGGTTTCCATCACCCATGAGGAGTATGAGAGACTTCGCCAATACTCCTCTTCTAGGACTACTACTACTCTTGCCCATTCAGGTACTGCCTGTCTTGCTTCTAATTCACAAATTACACCCCAGGTAATTGATTATGGAGCTTTAAATTATATGATTGAAACTTTAGACTTGTTTATGTCTTGTCCCCTCTTTCCACTTCTCAAACTATAAAAGCTAATGGAACTTCCTCTTCTATTACAAGTACTAGTAATGTGTCTCTTCGTTTTGAGTTCCATTTAAATAGTGTTTTATGTACCTAAATTTCCATTCAGTCTTTTATTTATAAGTTGACCCAATCTCTTAATTGTTCTGTAACCTTCTATCCCTCTTATTGTGTTTTCCAAGATCTCACAACGGGGAAGATGATTGGTGAAGGTCATGAAGTTGGAGGACTATACTACCTGTATGACAATGGTCCACGAAGGGCTCTTCACTCATCTCTCACTCCTCATTAGTGGCATTGTTGTTTAGTTCACCCATCTCTTTGTACTTTTAAGTTGTTGGTCCCTAGTCTAGAGTCAGTTACTCAGTTAGATTGCGAGTCATGTCAGCTTAGTAAACATTACAGAGTTCATTTTATTCCCAGAGAAGATAAAAGAGTCATGAGTCCTTTTGCTCTTATTCATTCAGATGTTTGGGGTCCCAGTCGTGTGTCATCATTAGACCTGTTCATGGGCCAGGTAGCCCAACGGGCCAGCCTGGCTCAGCCCGATCTAAGTCGGGTTTGGACAAGATATCAGGCCCGTGGGCTTGGGTTCAGGCCTAAAACATCGGGCCCGACCTTTTTTGGGCCAAGCTCGGGCTTTCTCAAAAAAGCCCGGTTCAAGTCCGACTTGATAATGTATTTATATAATAAAAATATATTCTATATAATAAATACATATATATATATATATATCATATTTTTTTCTTCATAGTTCTTATCTTTTTTCAAGTAATAGTGAGATCTTTCATTATTTTTTCTATGTTTTGAGGTCTTTTAATATAAATAAAACAGTTTTTTATTGAATAAAAAAGAAAATATTTTTCCAATTTTCTAGCCGGTCTCAAGATCGGGCCCGGGCTTTGGGCTTTATGTAAAGTTCGGGCTTGGGCTCGGGCCTAGGTATATTCTGTTAATACAGAGACAAAGCCCGGCCTGACCCATGAACAGGTCTAGTCATCATACAATGGTTTTAAATATTTTGTAATGTTTATTGATGATTATTCAAGTATGACATGGATTTATTTAATGAAAGATCGTTTAGAGTTGTTTCGGTTTTTCTCTCTTTCCATGTTGAAATAAGAACCCAATTTGGTGTATGTATTAATACTTTTCATTTTGATAGTGCAAATGAGAATTTTCATGGCAGCTTTTAGTCTTACTTTGACACTCCTAGGATTATACATCAATTTTCTTGTACTTATACACCTCAAAAAAATGGTGTAGCAAAACAAAAGAACCATCATGTTATAAGAACTTGTGCTTTATTGATCTAGATGTTTGTTCTTAAGATCTATTGGAGTGATGCCGTTCTCACCTCTTGTTTCCTTATAAACCGCATGCCCTCTTTTATTATTTATGGTTAGACTTCCTTCTCTATCTTGTTCCCATCTAGTTCACCATTCTCTCGTGTTTTTTGTTGCATTTGTTTGGTTCATAAGTTTGGTCTTGGCCGTGACAAACTTGATTTTTGAGCTATTAGGTGTGTTTTTCTTGGCTATTCTCATACTCAAAAAGTGTATAAATGCTATGATCCTATCCTTCGTAAGGTTTTTATTGTTTCAGATGTTACCTTTTTTTGAGAGTTTACCCTAATTTTCTGGATGGGAACCCTTGCTTATTCCTCTTCCTTTTGATTTGCATGATGTTTTTGTTCCACTTCCAACCATCGAGGAGCCTCTTTGACCATCGATTCATTAAGTGTATTCTAGACGAGATCGAGAGCCTGTACTAGTTTTTGTACTAGCTCCAACTTTGGCTTTCTATCCCCTGTTGATGTCTTCACCATTTCCAAATCCCCCTTAATCAGACCTTGATCTTCCCATTGCTCTTCGTAAGGGTAAGTGTACTTGCATTGATTATCCTATTTCGTGTTATGTTTGCTTGGTTCATTTATCCATAGAGGTGTAAATCTGGTGGGCCAGGCCAGGTCGTGCTTGCTACCTCTGGGATACTTTAGAGTTTTGGCCCAACATGGGCCCAGTGGTCCTGGGCCGGGTTGGCCCATGGGTCAGGCCCGACGAAGCCATGAAAGGTATATATTTTAAAAAAAAAAAAATTTGAAAGATTAATGAAAAATTTAAAATGAATTAACAAATTAGACAAAAATTGAAAAAAATCTTAAAATTTGATTTTATATGAAATTTGTTGTATATAATTGTTTATATATGAAATAATAAAATCAAATAAAAAAATTACAATTTGAATAAAATAATACAATAAAATTGAAAATAAAAAATTATATATATTAATATATTTTATATTATTATATAATTATTATTACATATACATATAAATATATATAATTATAATATATTATATAATATTTATTTCATATATAAACTTGCGTGTTGTCATGCTAGGCATGACCCAAATCGTGTCGGGCTGTGGGCGGCACGACCCGATTTACAACTCTATATATCCCCTGTTCATAAAAAAATTGTCTCTCCTGTCTTCTGTTTCCATTCCCCATTCTGTCTAAGAAGCTCTTGTCTCCCTTGATTGGAAGCAAGTGATAGATGAAGAATTTCATGCTCTTTAGTCCAACCATACTTGGGACCTTACATCCTTGCCCCATGGGAAACAAATGATTGGTTGTCAATGGGTATATACCGTCAAGCATTGACAGGATGGTAGTATTGAGATGTTTAAAGCCTGACTGGTGGCCAAAGGCTATACATAGACATATGGTGTTGACTACTCAGAGACTTTCTCCCTTGTTGCCAAAATGGGCGTAGTCTAGGTGCTTATCTCCTTAGCTGCTCATTTTGACTAACCTCTTTTTCAACTTGATGTCAAGATTGCCTTCCTCAATGGTGATCTCCAAGAGGAGGTGTACTTGGAGCAACCTCCTGGGTATGTTGCTTATGGGGAGGTAGGAAGGGTGTGTAAATTGCCGAAGGCTATCTATGGGATAAAGCAATATCCACATGCTTGGTGTGGCTACTTTAGTAGTGTGGTGCAGGGTTTTGGTCTGAAACAATGTAGTGTTGATCATTTTGTTTTTAGCAAAATACCTCATCTGGGAAGATTGTTTTGGTTGTGTATGTTTATGATATTATTCTTACAGGTAGTGATGCATAGCGAATTATTGAACTAAAGATTTTTTTTTTTTGCAACAACATTTTCAAATCAAGGATCTAGGTTCCTTGAAGTACTTATTGGGTATTAAAGTTGTTTGTTCAAAGTGGAGAATCTCTCTGTCACAAAGGAAGTATGTTTTAGATTTGTTGGATGAGACTTGGTTATTAGGTGCCAAACCAATTGAGACACCCATGGATCCCAATGTGAAGATGACTAATAGTCAGCGGGAGTTATTAAGTGACCCTAGAAGGTATAGGAGGCTAGTTGGCAAGCTTATTTACCTCACTATTACCCATCCTGATATCTCTTCCAATGTAGGTGTGCAAGCCACTTTATGCAGAATCCGACAACTACTTGCTGGGCAGGTGTTGTTAGAGTGTTAAGGTACCTAAAGGTTGCTTTGGGTCGTGGTCTATTGTATAAGAAAGGGGGAGATTTGTACCTTCCTATATGGGTATTCAAATGTAGATTGGGCAGGACCTTTAATGGACAAGATTAAGGAAGTCTACCTGGTTAATGTACCTTCCTATATGGGAATCTAGTCACATGGAAAAGCAAGAAACAAAGTATAGTTGCCAGAAGTAGTGCAGAAGTTGACAACATCTCCACTAATTTGGTTAAAGCATCTCCTCCAGGGGATTGACATTCTTGTTAGCAAGCCACTCAAACTGCCACTCACATTACTTCCAACCCAGTTTTCCATGAAAAGACTAAACACATTGAAGTTGATTGTCAATTTATCATTTTGAAAGAGAAAAGGTGACTAGTGGAAATATTGTCACACCGTATTTGAGATAAGAAGATCAACTAGCTGACTTGTTCACCAAGAGTTTAAGCAGTACCAGGATGAGTTATATTTG